TCCCTGTTTCTTCAGCATATATTTAATCACAGCCTTCACAAGGAATTTCACATATCCCCTCACTTTCTCCCAGATGTACGGGTTGTGCCTTATGATCTCCTGACGTTATTAGTAACTTCGTGAGGCTGATGGCCATTATACGAGTAAGAAGGATTAAGTATCTGTTCAGTGTTATTCTCAGCATTGGATATCATGACATTATTCTCAGCGTTGGATATTACGGTGGGTTTCCTTCAGTAATACTACATAAATAACGCGGGGGATCAAAACCTAATTTCAAAACGATATCTTTGATAGTGTTACATTCAACTTCTAGGAATTTTCGGCTGCACTACACGTAGGAGCGCAGAAAATCTGCGCTCAGGACACCTCCGTTTTGTAGTTATAAAGACACAAGAACAACAGCTGGAAGCTGCTACCGCTGCTGGAGACGCAACGCAGCGACGAGTTGAAGATTTGTTAGAGAAAAGTTAAGCGTAAATAGTTTTATTTCTTGGTGTTTTCTCATCACTTGTTCGTGCGTCCTTCACTGTTGCTGGTGTTTCCTCAGCACTCGTTCCTGCGTCCTTCACTCTTGATACATCATGAAAGTAAGGAATTACCATATAAATGCTCTCCGTTCCAATTTAATAGTTGTTTGGCCACAAAATTACACTGTTCACGTAAGAGGTTCCCACAATATTTTGGACAATGAAGTTTTAACTCCCACCATTGCTTCACTTGGTAATCTTTCAAAGTGAAAAAAGAAATAATGCTGACCTTGAGCTTATTATTATTGTTATTGCGATTATTTGAGGAGATGGGAGGAAGACAGCAGAATAACATCAGAAGCAACAGCAGTAGCAACAAAACAACAGCAACAGCAACAAAAAGGTCAGTGCCCGACCTTGCCCGGGGCTACAAATATACTAACATCTTCCCGCCTCTACACTCATGTTCGGAGACTCTCTTTAAAAAATAAAAATTTCTTGCTTTTAGTGCTAATTTACTCATCAAGGAGAAGTCCCTGACACGGATCTTTTTAGTAAGATGAGCCGTGTCAGAGCTGGGAGTGGCAGCACGTCTATCTAAACCCATCTGTAACACTGGTCACCAGAGGAGCAAACCCATATTTGAAGCTAACATTTGACTAGGTAGCGAGCATTTCCATGTCATTACATGGAACAATGTGACACGACAGTGAATATAAAAAAAATGAAGGTTTCTCATTAAGCGAGATGTGTTTGTGTGTATATATGTATGTACGCCATACTTTGGTGCACACTGTCGCCCACTTCCAGTACTTCCTCTCTGAGCGTGTCTGCTATAATGAATATGTTGCTGCTGACGAAGCAAGAGCTCTTTACTGAGTCTGAAGGTCACTTCTGGTCTCTTTCCCCGGGTCTATTGTCTCACTGGGTCTACCGTCTTCCTCCCAGGGTTTACTCTCTCCCACTCAGCACTCCAAGTTTTGGTCTCCTCTTCAGATTCTTCAAGAATACGGTGATCATCACCAACTCCAAGGCTGAGGGACTAATTTCCTCAACTTTTGTATGTAGTTCTACAGTCTTCCCATTATGTCCTTGAATTTGTATTGATAAAGCCACTGGATGACGAACAGTCTACAATTACAGATACCCAGATGTTGCGCATGTGTCTAATTCTTCATCTTTTCGGTACAGTATACCATTCATGTACGTACATCTATAAGATTTACCAGACGAACACTGACTGCGGAAATTATTTGATTGATGTGAGCCTCTGGCGAGATACTAAGCACTATGCTCATCCCTCAGATCTTTCTCTCTGAGTAAAGTCTGCAGTAGGCTCACCTTGGGTGGCCCGGTGGTCTGGTGGCTAAAGCTCCCGCTTCACACACGGAGGGCCCGGGTTCGATTCCCGGCGGGTGGAAATTCCGACACGTTTCCTTACACCTATTGTCCTGTTCACCTAGCAGCAAATAGGTACCTGGGTGTTAGTCGACTGGTGTGGGTCGCATCCTGGGGGACAAGATTAAGGACCCCAATGGAAATAAGTTAGACAGTCCTCGATGACGCACTGACTTTCTTGGGTTATCCTGGGTGGCTAACCCTCCTGGGTTAAAAATCCGAACGAAATCTTATCTTAATCTTACCTTACGTGAGGCGCCCACCCGAGTCAAGACCCAACAAGGCCACATTACTTTGGCGCATGTCTGATTCAGTTCCATCAGGTATGTCACATCAACCAGGCACAGTACTGTTCCTAACAGCAGTTTAGCTCTGCTGCCTAAGCAGCTAGTTTTTATTATGCACCCCATGATGATCCCGTGAACGGCAGCTCTTGCAGAACCAACTTCTTCGTCTTCCCTAATCCAATGTCTGTTCCTGGACACTTACTCTTTCCTTCTTTCCCCTAGGGTAGTCCTTGGTCTACTAGAGTGCGTTTCCTTTTACTCTGCCTGCACCTCAAGTTTTTTTTTTTTTTGTCCAGCCTCTTGTGGGGTACAGTATGAAATGCCTTCTTGATGTTTAAGAAAATGCAGTTTATCCATCCTCTCTCTCTCTCTCTCTCTCTCTCTCTCTCTCTCTCTCTCTCTCTCTCTCTCTCTCTCTCTCTCTCTCTCTCTCTCTCTCTCTCTCTCTCTCTCTCTCTCTTTCTCTTTCTCTCTTCCTCTTTTCTCTCTTTCTCTCTTTCTCTCTTTCTCTTTTTTTCTCTCTCACTCTCTCTCTCACCTCACTTGTTTTTTTTGTTATAGGATTCCAACAGGTTGAACCCATTTGGTTATTGATTATGAAACAACGTATCTCAAAGTGTTTTGCAACTTTCTCCTCTGATAATCTGCATTATCTTACAAGGCATGCATGTCAGTGAGAATAGTCTGAAGTTCAGTGTTTCCTGTTTGTCTGTTTTTCTTAACTATGGGGATTACATTCCCTGTCTTCCTGATCCCTGGCAACTGTCCCGTGCTCAGTAACTTGTAGATCTTAGCTAGTGGTTTGTACAGTACTGCTGTTTCTCCTTCTCTCAGAATCCATGGTGACACTTTATCAAGTCTGCGTCTTTCATGTATCCAGGCCCATCAAAGGTTTCTTTTACCTCTTCCTCTGTTGTGTGTATAGAGTTCAGGGCCTGTCGGTGAACCTTTTACCCCCTAGGCTTACTGGTATTACCTCTGTCTGTCTACACTGAGAAGGTGTTCTAAGTTCAACACTTCAGACTCCCTTGTCACTTTTCATGTATGTGTGTGTGTATCGCGCATCTAAGGCTCCCACACATGTGTGTGAGCCCCGTGTTTGAGGCTCCCACACGGTGTGTGTGTGTGTGTGTGTGTGTGTGTGTGTGTGTGTGTGTGTGTGAGAGCCCCGTGTCTGAGGTTCCCACACGGTGTGTGTGTGTGTGTGTGTGTGTGTGTGTGTGTGTGTGTGTGTGTGTGTGTGTGTGTGTGTGTGTGTGAATACTGTTCGAGGTTCGTAGAAATATAAAGGGGACAAGGAATGATAGCGCCTGAGTGATGTGGTCTGGGATCGGGCCGCAGGGGCGGTGAACCCCCTCGAAGTCGTCTTCAGGTGACGTTCAGGTAACCTTGAGAAGGTGAGTCTTCCCTGGCAGGTGAGGCGAGGTAAACCACTGAGGATAATTGTCGCACCTGACAATTCAACCTTGGCCACCATGGTTCTTGCTTCCAGCACACATGTTCACGCTTAAGCCTTAAGCCTACCATGAAACCTTAGGCCTACCATGAAGCCTTAGGTCTACCACAAAGTCTTTTATCTACCATAAAGTCTTAGGCTTATTAACTTCCAGTATCCATCTATGTCCCGTCCTTCTGCGTTCTTTCATTTCAAATAGTCTGCCTCGATTAACTTTGTCCACGTCTCTGATTATCTTAGATTTTGATCATAGCTCTAATTTTAAGAACATTTTAACTAAAAAAAGAGATACGTCAGAAAATGCTCCATTTCATAATATTTTTTAAAAGCAGCAATATATGTATACTTTAGCTAAGAATTAAGGTTTTGTTTGAAAATGCTTAAAGCCTCACTGTATCGTCGAAATATTCAATGAAATAACGTTTCGGTAGCCCTAGTTTCTGGGGCCGGATGTGCAGCGCAATTTTAGCATTTCTTGCTGTACTGTGCCTGATGCGTTGCATGTTGCATGCCCGAGGCTCACTGAAGCTCTCAGCTCACATCTATGACCACACATTCCCGTCCGTCTCTTGTGACTTAGTCACCTGCCACCTCCCCAGCTTCACCATCGCGGATGTATCTTGTATTTCCTGGTTTCTTCTCTTTGTATCAAGATGTGAGGTTTGGTAATGTTAATATTTTGTAATGGCCCATTCCCTCTTCTCCGGAAGTGCAGTGCTAGTGAGAATCTACACTTTTTCCGGCTTCTGTATATGCTTGACCAGGTGTCTGTTACACACACAAATGTTACATACTCAAGGACTGACCTGAACTGTGTCAGAGTTGTGTCCTGAAAGGCTATATATTGATCCCCGAGGGCAGTTCGTATGTTATGTTTGCCAGCCTTTTCAGTTTCGCAGGCGTGACGCGGTTATTGTGCTCCATCATCTGCAGTGATATATGTTGTATTAATTAAGCGCAACTATTTTAGAAAGGAAGATTATTCGTGTGTTTTAAGGAAGATAAATTTGTAAGAAAGATTATTACTGTAATTTTTTTTTTTTTTCTTTTTTTTTATGGACAAGTACTCGTAGCTGGAGGGACCTACTAGTTCCTCTTGGCCTGTCTGATACTTCTTCCCTCACCCTCACCATCTTGTGTTCCTCAGACATAATCTAGCCACTGAGGCCTTTTTGCTCTGGTGTCTGTCAAAGCTCTGAGTTTGTGGAACAGTCCCCGCTCTCTCTCTTTCTCTCTCTCTCTCTCTCTCTTGCGGTACCTCTGACAAATGCCATCCTGCAGTCTCAGAATATATAATCAGTCTGCCCATATTAGTCTTGCCTGATCCTCGAGTCTTCTAAAACTCCAGGTGTGTCTCACACACACCTTTCCAGGTATGTGAGGCACAGTATGCATGAAAGTGATATCCGTCTGGTATTTGGGGGTCTCCGACTCTTGCACTCTGCTTCTGCATTAACTGCAGGGTATTCTCGGGGTCAGTGCCCCCGCGGCTCAGTCCTTAACCAGCCGACATTTGATGTGTTCTGGACGGTTGGAACACGTCTTGTAGAACGCATGACGGCACTTATTACGTAAGAAACCGTCTTGAAGAGACATTTGAAAAAACTGTTTCGTTACGAACGGAGAACGAGATCATTGATTAAATAACGTGAATAACGAGTGAGGTATAACGTTTCTTCATTATTTTCACTGTTCGTTGAGAATGTGACCGAAAGATCACACAACAGAATTTATTACAACTTACACAACATTTACCAGGAGACGAGATCCTACGTGTATTAAATCTCTCTCTCTGTCTCTCTCTGTCTCTCTCTCTCTCTCTCTCTCTCTCTCTCTCTCTCTCTCTCTCTCTCTCTCTCTCTCTCTCTCTCTCTCTCTTTCTCTCTCTCTCTCTCTCTCTCTCTCTCTTGGGTGAGCCAGCACGAGAGGGGTCAGGCCGTCACTTCATCCTTATAAGGAGGTCATTACAAAGTTGACTTGGTCACTGCTTTTGTTTCCTTGTAAGGTCGAAGAGATGTGGCCTGAGTCTGAGTCCTGGGCTCAGCAAGGATGATCTGTTGCTGTTGGAGGCAGCACCTCCCGTCTCCCTGCAGAACAAAAGTTCTCAGATCTCATTAAAATGGTTTAAGAAAAGCTCTCCTGAGCTCGGCAGAACGTTAACGCTCTCTTGTTTTTTGGGGATTATGTGTTTCTCTCTAACCTTTCTACATTCTCTCTCTCTCTCTCTCTCTCTCTCTCTCTCTCTCTCTCTCTCTCTCTCTCTCTCTCTCTCTCTCTCTCTCTCTCTCTCTCTCTTTTCCTTCTTCCCTCCCTCATTCCCTGCCATATTCCAACACACAGGATGGGTTTTGTACATTTCAACGCTGTTTGTAACCCATCCAGTGTAATGGAATATGACAGGGAAAAACTCCTGTGTAGTGGAATGACAAGGAAAATCTATCCTATTTAATGGCATGACAGGGGAAACCTATCCTGTTTAATGGCATGACAGGGGAAACCTGTCCTGTGTAATGGAATATGACAGACAAACGTACCTTTGCTCCCACTACATAACCATCGCAAAGGAGAAAAAGAAGGTCAGCAGCACACTGCTGGTGGAAGCAGTTCCATTCCATCTGAACGACTGGTGGGGTGCGCGCCTGTGTGTCTCTCCGAGCCATGGGTATCCACTCTCAAACAGGTCTCTGGTCTGTAGCCTCACCTTGACGAGATTAGGTCAGTGTGCAATGTGAAGCACACGTCAATGTTGTTGATGCTGACCTTTACGTTGTGTAGGTACAAGCACTCCCCCCTAACCCACTCCCTCTATCCCACTCCCCATCCCTCAACCCCTACCTGCATATACTCCCTCCCTCCCTCGTCCTACCGTTTCTCACCCTAAGTTTCCGATGATCTACTCTCCCGAATCCTAATCTTTCTTCCTCCTCTTTCTTATTCTTCCTTAATCTATTCATTCCTTCCTCGTCCTTTTTCCCCCTCGCCAATTACCCTCCCTTAATATCTTCTTAGCACCTCCGTCTATGTTCCATTACCTTCCCTCCTGACCTTAATACCCTTCCCTCACCCTTCCTAACTCTATCTCCTTCTTCTCTTCTTCCCTACATACATACAAGGATATACCCAGAGGTATGTACAGAATTCCTTATGATACGCGACTTTATGGACACTTTGTATATCCTTGTGTATATACTTTGTATATCTTTGTGCTTATACTTTGTATATATTAGTGTATATACTTTGTATATTTTAGTGCATATATACTGAGAATTTGCTTTGATCTCTGATGCTGAGATTATATTAGTCTTGTGTATATCAGTGTGCAGGTGATTTGCGGTGTTAATGACCCAAGTGTAGTCGATGCAAATTTAAGTCAACCCAGGAAGCAACACAGAACACAGTGTGTGCGTATTGAGAGATGTGCACCTACCTGTATATGGTTGCATGGGGTCGATTCATAGCTCCTGGCCCCTGTATGTGTGTGTGTGTGTGTGTGTGTGTGTGTGTGTGTGTGTATACGATGAGTTTACATTGAGAGGTGTTAGTGGAGGTGAATATTCGTGGCAGCGTCGGTAATACAGTGGCCTTGATGCTAGTAAGGGCTCTTGATCTAACTAACGGAGGCCTTGATACCGGTGAAGGGCTTTTGATCCAAGGAATCGAGACTATCCTCCCTTGGATCGAACCCGAGTGCCCCCCACCGCTCCTCCGCCCATGCCTCCAGGTGCCACATGACCCCTGCGAATTTAGAGCTTCCCGAAGGTTGATAATCAAGAACAAACTAGATATATTAAAAGAAAAAAGGTGAATAAAGGCGTCAACCTTGACATTATTGCTCCACCAGAGTAAAGACTTGCAAATAAAACTGTCGGTTAATTATGATCTTTTAATAAGGCATTGAGAGAGAGTATTCTTCTTTAGATTCTTCTTCACCTTTATTTTCAGTCTTTGTCTTCTTCTTCGTCTTCTTCTTCGTCTTCTTCGTTATCATCTTCGCCTTTGTCTTTATCTTCGACCAGAAGAGGAATGGCAGGAATATTAAGAGGGAAGATTAAGATAACGTAGTACATAAAAAATGTGGGTACTGAGAGAGAGAGAGAGAGAGAGAGAGAGAGAGAGAGAGAGAGAGAGAGAGAGAGAGAGAGAGAGAGAGAGAGAGAGAGAGAGAGAGAGAGAGAGAGAGAGTTAAATAGGCTGTGTGAAACACAATCATTCACCAGCGTAACATTCAGAGCAGCATCAATCCCAGACTCCCAGCTGGAGTGCCTATCTAAGACGCTGATGCGGTATTCTCGCTGTTTCTTATACGTCGCCTCACGATACATCGCTCACCGTCTCACAATTAAAGGAAGGTGATAAGAGAAAACATGATAACGGCGGCTTGAAAACTGGTTTACCTGCGACTGTTCTCGAGAGTTTTTTTCCCCTTTCCTGTTCTCGCGGTTTCGGGTGAGAGAGAGAGAGAGAGAGAGAGAGAGAGAGGAGAGAGAGAGAGAGAGAGAGAGAGAGAGAGAGAGGTTGCAGAGCAGTCTCTTTTTTTGGCACTATATTTCGCTCTAAGTAGAGCTTTGTGAAGTCATGGTTTGTTCTGCGTAGAGCTTCACCAAGTCATGCTTCACACTGTATAGAGCTCTATCAAGTCATGCTTCACACTGTATAGAGCTTTATCAAGTCATGCTTCACACTGTATAGAGCTTTATCAAGTCATGCTTCACACTGTATAGAGCTCTATCAAGTCATGCTTCACACTGTATAGAGCTCTATCAAGTCATGCTTCACACTGTATAGAGCTCTATCAAGTCATGCTTCACACTGTATAGAGCTCTATCAAGTCATGCTTCACACTGTATAGAGCTCTATCAAGTCATGCTTCACACTGTATAGAGCTCTATCAAGTCATGCTTCACACTGTATAGAGCTCTATCAAGTCATGCTTCACACTGTATAGAGCTTTATCAAGTCATGCTTCACACTGTATAGAGCTCTATCAAGTCATGCTTCACACTGTATAGAGCTTTATCAAGTCATGCTTCACACTGTATAGAGCTCTATCAAGTCATGCTTCACACTGTATAGAGCTCTATCAAGTCATGCTTCACACTGTATAGAGCTCTATCAAGTCATGCTTCACACTGTATAGAGCTTTATCAAGTCATGCTTCACACTGTATAGAGCTCTATCAAGTCATGCTTCACACTGTATAGAGCTTCATCAAGTCATGTTTCACACTGTATAGAGCTCTATCAAGTCATGCTTCACACTGTATAGAGCTCTATCAAGTCATGCTTCACACTGTATAGAGCTCTATCAAGTCATGCTTCACACTGTATAGAGCTCTATCAAGTCATGCTTCACACTGTATAGAGCTTTATCAAGTCATGCTTCACACTGTATAGAGCTTTATCAAGTCACGCTTCACACTGTATAGAGCTCTATCAAGTCATGCTTCACACTGTATAGAGCTTTATCAAGTCATGCTTCACACTGTATAGAGCTCTATCAAGTCATGCTTCACACTGTATAGAGCTTTATCAAGTCATGCTTCACACTGTATAGAGCTCTATCAAGTCATGCTTCACACTGTATAGAGCTCTATCAAGTCATGCTTCACACTGTATAGAGCTCTATCAAGTCATGCTTCACACTGTATAGAGCTTTATCAAGTCATGCTTCACACTGTATAGAGCTCTATCAAGTCATGCTTCACACTGTATAGAGCTTCATCAAGTCATGTTTCACACTGTATAGAGCTCTATCAAGTCATGCTTCACACTGTATAGAGCTTTATCAAGTCATGCTTCACACTGTATAGAGCTCTATCAAGTCATGCTTCACACTGTATAGAGCTTTATCAAGTCATGCTTCACACTGTATAGAGCTCTATCAAGTCATGCTTCACACTGTATAGAGCTTTATCAAGTCATGCTTCACACTGTATAGAGCTTCATCAAGTCATGTTTCACACTGTATAGAGCTCTATCAAGTCATGCTTCACACTGTATAGAGCTTTATCAAGTCATGCTTCACACTGTATAGAGCTTTATCAAGTCATGCTTCACACTGTATAGAGCTTCATCAAGTCATGCTTCACACTGTATAGAGCTCTATCAAGTCATGCTTCACACTGTTTACACACAGTTTCATCCTGTTTCGTTCTTTTCAAGTCACATCTCACTCTGTATAGACCTTCGTAAAGCCTGAAGGAAAACACGAGGTAACAGTTCACAGATCTATCTGGCAGTGACAGAGTGCAACAGGGAAGGGAGGTCACTCTTACAGCCGGTTCTAGTTTTTTCACACCCTTCCAGGGAGGTGGTCTAGCGTTTCTCTAATAACCTAGCATTTTTCCTTTCTCATAAAAGGCGGGGATATTTCCGCTTTCGTCTGCATTTACTGGACACTTAATGCCCAGGGAGGCTGGGTAAATGTCACCGGTTCGATCCCCGGTCTGTCGCAACACTGTATTTGCGATTGACAGTGGATGACACTCCACGTATTATAGATATGGACAGTGGAAAGTAAAAAAAATTAACTTCGAATGGTTTTGCTGAGTAAATTTATATACATATATTAC